ACAGGCCACTTGTATACCTATGCATGCATTATCAGGATGTCTGCAAATGTTCTTTAAACATAAAAAAGAGCCTTGACCGGTGGCTTCGTCGGTAGGAGCATCATCCTATACAACAAAAGGTTCTGGGTTCACTCCCCACATGGAGACGATTGATGTTTCTCTCTTCATTGATGCTTCTCTCTTTCTCCCTTCCTCTCTCTCTAAAATCAATAAAAACATATCTTTAGGTGAGAATTAAAATAAGTATAAATAAAAAAGAAAGGGAATGGGGGATAAAGGGTGATGGAAGGATACTTGACTTGGAATAGTGAACATACAATATAAAGATGATGTGTTATAGAATGTACATCTGAAACCTACATAATTTTATTAATCAATGTCACCCAATAAAGTCAAGAAAAAAGAAAAAATTAGTTTTCTCTTTCAGATAAATTACTATAAAACGGAATCAGAATCATCCCTAAAATGCCATTCTCCACCAGGCAGTTTTCAGTGACGGCGGTTAAATTCTGGCTTTGATAGAGAGCCTAATACTTCTTCTTTAGAGGCTTGTGCTGCAGAGAGCTCAGAGGGAGGGCAGTGGGGTTTGTTTTTTAAACAAACTGGGAGCATTTTACAGAGACGCTTGTAAAACCAAGCAGAGTGTTTCATTAGAATGTGAGTGGCCTGGAGAACAAGAAGGAATGTCCCAGAAACTCTCAGAATCACTGGGAGCTCAGAACAACACCGAATGAGGCAAGATTGTAAGGATTCTTTTGGTTCCCCCTTTCCCTCAAAATGTCCAAAGAACAGCTAAGAGCTTAGCAAACATGGGTGTGAATGGGTCTGCTCTGCGACTTCAATCCTGCGCTCCGGAGCCATCTGGGAGCCAGGCTGAGCCGCAAGATCCCAGGAGGCTTCATTTGTCGTCACCAAAAGTATAACAAGCTACCCCTTTTAGAAAGTGCAGCTGAGATTCACCTCAGAGTACAGATCTCAACTAAGGAGAATTAATGGAGGGGGGACGGTAATAAAATTCTACTATATGTAATGTAAGGAAAGAGGCTAGACGAATTGCAAAAAATAAAAATATACATGACAAGCATGGTATCACAAGATGCATCTAAACAAACAAACAAAAAAGGCACTATACGCAAACCAGAAATTAGAGCTGACCAGAAACTAGCTTTGAGATACTTTGAAAGTTGAATTTTTAAAGAATGTTACCCCAGGGACTCTGAGGTAACAATGTGAAGCTGATGAGATAAGCAATTTTGTTCATGTGTCAAAAGTCCTTCATTGGCTCCAATGTTCACGGTTCCTTCTGGAGATGCCCACAGCACAGCCACCATTACCCTGATGGTCACAGAAGTCACAGAGGTGGGCTCCACATGGGGCACAACTACCCGGACCTGAGGGAGCCCATCATCTTCTCCATCAGACCCTCGTTTAGCTTTCTGAAGCGGCTTTTCAGGATCCACCCAAACAGGGAGGCTAGATGGGTCGGTGGTCCCCCAATGGGGTGTTTGGGACATGGGCTCAAGCCAGCAGACTACATAGGACCAGAGAACATTCCAGAATAGGGCAGGAGTCTTGAGATTCCCCAGGGCCCCTGAGAAGAAACAAGGAAGGAACTTCCCGTAGTCCTGACACTAAAAAACAAGGACCAGAGCAAGGATGGGGAGACTGTAAAAGCTTCCAGAGAGAAAAACGGGTCCCTGCGATATCGTCCCTGCGATACTTCTTTGGTCTCCATCGCTGGTCCTGGCACAGAGCTCCTAAAAATTCTGGGATTTCCTTAGTGATGGGGTGAGAAGAGCACTTGTTGCTATTCATTGGCACAGTCTTTCAGCTTTACCTGGACTCATTCCCATGGGGTGACCCTTGGAGGAGGGCACTGGTTACCAGGGGAACCCACCTTGTGATTAGAGGTCTGGAACTCGCAGCCCTGTCCCCAAACTTCTTGAAGGGAGAAGGGCTAAAGACTAAGCTAATAGTGATTTAATCAACCAGCCTGTGTAATGGAACCTCCACAAAAACCCTAAATGACGGGGTTTGGGGAGCTTCCGGGTTGTTGAACATGAAGAGGTGCTGGGAACCTGGTGCTCCTGGAGAGGGCATGGGAACTCTGTCCCCTTCCCGCACCTGCCCCGGGCACCTCTCCGAAGCTGTGCTTCCTGAGTTGCATCCTTTATAACAGACCAGTAATGAAAATGATTCCCTGATTCTATGAGCCCTTTTAGCACATTGTGGAACCCAAGGAGGGCTCATGGAACCCTGATTTACAGCTGACCACTCAAAAGCACAGGTGACAGTGTGGCTGGGGCCGGAAGTGGGAATGGTCCTATGGGACTGAGACAGCCTGTGGGGTCTGATTAATGCCAGGCAGTCACTGTCAGAATTGTTTAATGGAAAGAACTCACACATTTGGTGTCAGAGGTGTATGCAGAGAAGAGTTTCCCGTTAGGCACTTGCATAAGAGCAGGAGTCAGACTGGGTGAAGACTTCTCAACGCCAGAAAGTTCTGAGGAACACTGCTTTGACTAAGATCTGTAGACTCAGGCAAACTGGTCATTTCCATGAATGCAAGAAAAGACATCAAAGGTCACCTTCTCCATATCCTTTCTTAAAAAGCTGTTTGGGGAGATATTCCACCAAAATAGAGAGAATAAACCAAGAAATAAGAAGACTGAGATCTGAGGAATTATGGATACCACAGGAGGCAGAGCCAGGGGGCCTTGCAGGTGTGCAGTCTGTGAACTGAGTGTTCCCACCCAGGGACTAAGGACAGTGTAGGAGCAGGCCAGAGAGGGGAAGAAAACAGGGTTGGAAAAGTGTCCGGTGGTGACACAGAACAATGACAAAAGACCGTGTGCAAAGTCAAGCAAATTTTACGGAGCAGGAGGTATCCCTGGAAGACAGAGGGGTCTGAATAAAATACTGTGTCTGTGCTGCAATGTGCTCACAGGTGGACGAACAGACGGGCATGTTAACAACATGAAGGATTCTAAATGCATGGAGGGTGAAGGAAGTGTAGGGCAAGGGTCCCTTATTCAGCCTTGTGATGGGATTAGTAGTCCATGAGAGTAACTATAAAATTCATCAAGTGAAATGTGTGAAGAGCCCTATGGCTTTGTGGACAATTCCTGGGCCTTCAGGGACTCTGAAGTGGCTCCCAGTCCAGTGAGATCTGGAACCCACTGGAGAGAGATCAGTGCAGGATCCCCAGCCATCTCAGCTAGACAACCTGTGCATGAATACTGATTTTACCCCAAGCATACTTGCAAGACAGAAAAAGAAAAAATGCATCTCCAAAGCCAATCATTCTGTGCTCAGCACAGACTATCTGCTTGACCTTCTGGCTCAAAACTGTTTCCTTTTGAAGTGAACAGAGAATCCCCACGGAGATCAAAGGCAGCCTGCTCCCTGGAAAGCTGAGGGCCAGGTTTTATAAAGTTGTGCTCTCTCTCTGCAAGCCAAGCCACTGGGGTTTTTCCACTGCTGTAGGCTCCCCTTTCCAAGGTCTCATAAAGCCTCACAGATTAACTCAGTCTTGACTTCATCTTTCACTGAGTGACAGCTCAAACGTTTAGAATGATTACTTAATCCTGTGGAGGATAACGCAACATCGCAAAAACGATTTTTTGTGCAACTTAAAAGAGAAAGAGGGCTGGGCCCGATGCCCGCATTGGCAACCCCGTGACACATGGAGTCCCTCCAGGAAGCAGTGCAGTGGCAACCACGTGTCCACTGAGATTTAGAAAGGAAGTGAGCCCTGCAGTGCCCACAGCACACAATCACTGCCAGGGACTGGCACCAGAGTTGACTGACCACTCGCCCAGGCATCTCAGCCTGGAACTCTTCCCCATCCCCACTGGTCTGCCCCTCACTTATAGGTTTAAGAATCTGAGAGTTTGGTTTTAGCCATGACTACAGGTTGGGCTCATGAAGCATGTACTTGTGTGTTCCCTACTGTGCAGTGCCCATGGCCTTTGCGCCCTCCTGAGTGTAGGGACTGGGGTGGGGGAGGTGGACTCAGCGCTGGCTGCCAGGCCCGGGGCTGGTGTTCTGGGCACAGACTGGCTTCTCTGGGGCTCCGCAGGCTGGATGGGCAGGCCCCTGACTGCTGCCGGGTTTTCAGGCAGTTCTCAGCCTGATCAGATGTGCACACTCAGCTCCACAGGTAATGCGAAGGCTTCACCTGCTGCTGTCTCAAAGCTTTCAATAAACCTCTGGGGAACCTGAGGAGGTGGAGGTGAGGGTGGGGGGCGCCTCGGACCCGCTGGGCCTCCGGGATGATGCAAGTTCCAGAGGCCCAGGGTCCCACAGGGGCTGCCCACCGGTTAGGGTGCGCTAGCGGGATGGGAGGCGCACAGAGTGGAGACACTGCTCTCTGCAGCTGGGCTGCTCCGGTGTCCAGGAAAGGGATGCTGCTCAGGGCGCTGGGCGCCCACGTTCTCGCGGCCCACAGGCCATATCGGACTAATTCACCTGGGTTTCTGTAGCGCCCAGGCCAGCCGAAGTCCTGCGAGGGTGCCCTGCGCAGTCCTCATCAATTTGGGGTCCTGACTTGGGTCCCGGCAACTGACAGCCGGTGGGTGTGACTAGAGAAGAAGGGGGCAGGCAACTGAGGGCAAAGTGGGCTCCAGAAGTCACCTGCGAAGACCAAACCTACCGCCCCCTTCGCCTCCTCTGCCCCCCACCCCCACTCCCCAAAACTAAGGTGACCAGACGTCCCGCTTTTGAACAATGTGTCCCCGCGGCGGTTTAAAATCGGGACTTTTTTTAAACCGCCGCGGGGACACATTGTTCAAAAGCGGGACGTCTGGTCATCTTACCCAAAACCTCAGCCAGATCCCGGGGCCCCGGGGGAGGGCGTCGCGCGGTGGGGTGCCTGTGCAGTGGCGCGGGCGCACACGGCGGGGGGCGGCCCGGGGACCGGGCGAGGCAGAGGCACTAGCGGGAGTCGCGTGCGCGCGCGGAGGAGCGATCCCCACGGAGCCCAGGCCCCGCGGACTCACAGTAAATGAAAGCCAGGGCCCTCAGGAGCACGATCCTGGTCAGCCAGAAGGTGCCCGCGCGGAGGCGGGCCGGGCAGCCCGCGGGGTCGTGCCCTGGCCCCGTCGGGGACGCAGGCTCCTGGCCCGCGTCCGCCGCCTTCCGCCTCCTGAGCTGCTCCCCGGGCGCCGCCATTGCGGGGCCGTCAAGGGGCATGCGCGGAGAGCAGTGCGCGCCGGGACGCCCCGCCCACAGCGGAGAGGCCACGCCCATAGTGGGGAGACCACGCCCACAACAGAGAGGTCACGTCCACTCCCTCAGGCCCGGACCGCTACCCGGAGGACACGCCCACAGCAGAGAGGCCACGCTCACTCCCTCTGGTCCGGACCGCTACCCGGAGGACACGCCCACGTGCGGGGAGTTGTCGCCTGGTCCCCCCAGCAGACTGTGTGGGGCACGGTAATAGTAAGGTCGAGGAGGTGAGTACCTAGGAAAACCATAAGCATCACTCCACTTGGAAGGGGTTGACCAACTCCATTCATTCATTCGTTCACTCACTCATTCATTAGCCCTTCGAAGAGGGCTCCCAGTGCATTCTCTGACCTAGACGGCAGCCCTCTTGGACCCGTACTGTAGGGAGGGGGCAGAAGGCACTCCAGAAATAGAAATGCAATGGGAAAGAGACTGTTAGAATGTTTGTGTCTGGCCAGTACGAAAAGGGGGTTTGTTGGGGTGGGGGGCGTGCTGGTCATCGTTCGGGGCAGCTGGGCTGTGGGCAGCTGAGTACCCTGGCAGGTACTTCACCCCCTCTGCGGCTCAGGGGGTGTGTGGAGTTGCAGTCCCACAGAGGAAAGGCTGGAGCAGTGGTTCAATCCAGGGCCCCAGGCTGTTATTGCCTGTATGTATGTGTGGCCAGGTGTCCCCTCCTGGATTTCTCATCTTTGCTGTCCAAGGAGGATGCTATGGTGGAAGTCACATCGTTGGTGAGGGACAGAGCAGGCCTTGAATGTTAGCTCAGGTCAGTAAAATCGCTGTTAGATAGGCAGAATTCCTAACCTCCAGCCATGGTGGAATGGAATGGCCCCAGCAGAAGCCCAGTGAGGACACCAGCACGTCTACATTCTGAGGCAAGAGCAGTGCAGGCAGTGCTCAGGAGAGGGGGCTCCAAGAGGATGGAATCCTAGGCATTCCTTTGAAGAAAGAGGGGTGTGCTGGGTAAAATAGGATTAAAGCCCCAGGGGTCATTGGATAAATTGTGGGACACTTGGAAGCAAATGATTGAGGTAGGTGTGAGTTTTTATTCATTTGTCAGAGCTCTCTATATTTTGAAGATCCTGTTATTTTGTGTTTATTGCAAATGTTTGTCCTGGGTTTTGTTTGTTTGTTTGTAAATCTTGTTCCGTATTTTGACATATACATTATCAATACTTGTGTGGTCAAAGTATTAATCTTTGTTGATTGTTTAATTGTATCCTTGCTGCCTGTAGTATGAGCTCCATAAGGTCAGGGACTGGCTCTGGACACAGAATCCCCCAAATCTAGGCCAGATCAGCAACTTCTGGAACCCCTCCCCAGCCTTTTCCCCACCCTTGTCCTCCCAACCATTGTTGGGATAATAGCGAGTAACTGCATCTTACAGTGTGACTTTTCCTAAAGTTTCCTTTTCTTTCCAATGAAAAACCCTTTCTTTGGAACCCAACCCGGAAGGGGGACCAAATAAAAGATGCTGCAGTGGGCGGTGTAAACATTTTCCACATCCTGGTGATCCCCAGCAGGAAAACTAGTGCCCAGAGGGCTCCCAGCCTTGAGGATCAGAACTTTAGCTCTGGCTCAAGCCCTGCTCCCAGTTACTTCCATGAAAACCCCAAACCTGCACTTCTCCTCCCTGTAGTCCAGGCACAGCACTTGGGGCAGCACAGCTCTTTGGGGAGAGCGGGGAGAATCCAGCACCCTCAGCCCCAGCTGGCCCATGCTTCCCTGGGTCTCCGTCCGGATGCCGGAGCCTCTCGCAGATAGAAGGCAAGGAAGGACAGCTCTGCATCAGGTGTGACCTTGGGCGCTGCTTTTCAGGTGGGGACAGTCCTCCCCAATGGGCCCTTTGTCCTCGGCTTCCCCTGTCAGGGGGCTGCATTGTTCTCCCCGGAGAAGGGCACAATGGGGCATTGTGCACAGCAGAAAGGGGCCCCTTGTCTGGCCTTCAGCTCGCTGGGCTCCGGGCTCCCTCTTTGGGTTTGCCCAGAGCGGGAGAGGCCATCAAAGAGGTCTGCCGGGAGCTCGTGTTCTCATGTTTCCTCCAGGGTCTTCCTTCCTGGGACCTGACCGAAGAGGTCCAGTTCATCTGAGGGAGGGGACCCCATGACAGGGCTCGGGTGGAGGATGGGCTCGGCTCTTGCCCATTCAGCCTGAATTTAATAAAAAATGCACTGGTGTATGACTCAGCCATAAAGAGGTGTGAAGTATTGACACATGCTACAACATAGATGAACTGCAAAGCCATCATACTAAGTGAGAGAAACCAGACACACAAGGCCACATGTTGTCTGATTTCATTTATATAAAATTCCCAGAATAAGCAAATTCACAGAGACAAAGTAGATCCATGATTCCTAGGAGCTGGGGGAGAGGGGTGAGGAGTGACTGCTAATGGGTACAGGGTTTGCTTGAGGGGTGATGGAAATGTTGAGTAACTTCATAGAGGTGGTGGTGGCACAATATTGTGAATGTACTCAATGCCACTACTTTTACACTTAAAAATGCTTACTTTTACACTATGTGAGTTTCTCCTTCAAACAACAACTTAAACAAAATATGCTCTGCTGCTGTTTAAAATTACCTGGAAGGCACTGCTTTCACCTGCTAGAATAGGTGGTTTCATTTACACCAAATCTACCTCTTCATCTACATTAGGGAGCATGGAACCGTTTTAGAATAATAGTTAGATGTGGGTGTGTCTGTCTTATGCCAAAGGTCCTCCACTTAAAAACAAAACCTTTTTCTGCAAACTTTCGGGCTCCTGAACCTGTATTTTCTCTTACAGTATTTGGGTTTGCCCAGAGTGGGGAGATAGAGGCTGTGAGGTGCTGAGACTAGTTATAGGAGGACCCATGGCCAAACCAGAGAGAAAGCTGAGAAAAGAGGAGAGGGGAGAAAAGGGAGGGCCCCCCTAAGAGGAGCTGCCAGCTCAAGCTTGGGCTAGTGTCCTGGAGACCCACAAACAAGCTGGGAGCCCTAGCCGGGCCCATGTCCCCGATGGGCCCGTCCGCAGCTCCTCCAGCTCAGCTCTGGAGCCGGGACACACACATAAGACCAAGAGCTGGCTGTGCTCCTAGCAGCTGAGAGACGGCTTCACAGAGGAATGAGCCCCGTGTCAGCACCTCGTCCAGCTGTCCCTAGGCACCCCGGCCTGGCAGCCGCTGCCACATCAGGACAATTGTCTCTGACGTGCACTTGCAGCTGTCTCTGGCATCCAGGAGAACCCAGCTTGGGCCCGAGTCTAATCTTGCACCCTTCATTTACCCTAATTTTTCATGTCTTGACATCTGTTGGTGGGGAGGGCAGAACCCACTGGCACTAACATCTGTCACTTTCTCTGGAAGGGTGATCAGTTTGGGCCTGCCCCACCATGACTGTCCAGCGGCCAAAACTCTCCGGTGAGGCTGGCAAGTGCGGGTGAGGGTGGGCAAGCAGGTGCTGGGCCATTTGCTGGTTGTTCTGGAACCGTGACTCACTCCCAGGCGGCTGTTCTGCTTGGCTCACCCGGCTCTCCTGCGGGCACCCTCTGCTCCGGCCCCTGAGCACTGCTGTGCCTGGACCCTAGAAGATGTGGCCCTGTGTGGCCCAGTGAGCCATGGTTGCTCAGCAGAGTAGAAAGCAAAAAATTCCAGTGCAATTCCATTATCTGCTTATAGAGCTCTGGGGTAGGGTGGGATAGGGTGGGGAGAGGGAGACGGAGGGGGGGGTGGAGATGTGGAGTTAATTTTTTTTTTTCTTTTACAATCACATTCTAAACTGGGAGGAATCTTGGGAATTGCCTAGGCCAGTGGCCACTAACAGGAGGCCTTTGAGCTGAATCCTGCCCACAGAGATGTATCAGTTATTATGGCCACAATAACGCCAAGTAACAAACAGTCTCAAAATCACAAGCCCCCGTGTCAGCGGGCCGTGCTCCCCATGAGGTGGGCACAGGCGTGAGCTGGGCGCAGGCGTGAGCCTGTGGCCAGCGGAGGTCTGGGTGGCAGCAGGGCCCTGGCTGGCCACTGGGATGACGAGGGCCTCTCTCCAGCAGTCCACGGGCCCCACCATTTTTTCCAACCTCGCCCGCAGCAGCTTCCATATCTCCTCTCCGCCTGGCCCCTGATGCCACTTAGGACCAAGACCACTGATTTGGCCCAAGCCCCTTATTTCTTGGTGGGGGAGGGGAGCTGAGGGGAAGCTTGTGCCCAACTCCATCCATCCTCAGGCCTTCCCTTCCTGTGACCCTCCCCCAGTGGTTAAAGCACACAATCCATTTCTGGAGAGAGTGGGCGGCCTTCCGGTTCCCTGTTCTCCTTGAAGGCATGCCCAGATGGGCCCACCCGCAGGAGACGATAATGAATGCACAAGCCCAGAAAATACAACAAACACCAGGTGTCGGCCACTGCGCACCTGCCATTCTACATACATCAACCCACACAGGCCCTGTGGTGCCCTCGGGACAAGCATTCCTGACCCCTCTACTGCCCGCAGTGACCCCTTAACTTGCCCAAGGGAAAGGGCCACGGAAGATGACAACAGGTCCTGTGACCTTAAACACCCTCCTTTCCAGAACCCTGAAGCCTTTCTGGGGGAGCCTACAACTCCCTCCTACCTCTTTCCACACCCCAAGGGCAGTTGGCAGCCCCAAATGACAAACTACTCTATGGTTCCTCGTTTTATGCTTTCTAGAATGCGTTGCCAGCCTGAGCTTCTGGAGGGCAGGGCCCTGTGGGTTCTCACACACACACACACATACACACCCCAATCCCAACACCACAGCAGCTCTGGTATGACGTAGAAGCTCCAGAAGTGTTTCTGAGAAAAGCTCCAGAATAGAAAATACCCTCCAGGATTTCATGTTATGGACCCACACTGTCACTGTGTGAGGGGCTTTCTGTCTCAGGATGGTCTACGTGTTAAAAGCCACCAGAAATGTGCTTTTAACACCCTTGGGTTGTGTCATTACTTCCAAGGCACACTCAGGAACTTGCACTTGG